CATAGAATGCAAATACATAATATCCAAATCCTTCGTAGTTTTGCAGCTCTGAATTCAATGATTTTAATAACAAGTTATTATTATTTTTAATTAAAAACTATAACGTATTCATTAAATATTAAACTTAATATTTTAATCTTGTTAAAAGCATTTTATGATAAATAATTTACTTTGTTTACAATTTATATTATATTTGTGCTTACACATGCGCACGCACACACTCACAAAGGCACACAAATCCCCCCCAAAATTCATCTCTGAATCCACCCCTGGTATAAGATTAATTCTAGGAGGGGGGGACTGGCAATGAGAATGCGCAATTTGAACCGTAGTAGCTCGTAAACTGAAAGAGCAATTGCGAGAATTGACGGTCTACTACATACAGTTCATGTATTATCATCTTGAATTTGGGAAATATTTGTTGTCAATGTATGACAATGTGAAGTAGGAACCTAAAACAAGTTAGACATACATATTTGATTTAGATATCAGAATTTTAATTGCTTGTAGGGCTGATAATGTAATTTTCTTTGCTACAATGTAATCACAAATTTAGCATGCTGCTTAATGCAAAATTGTAATATTGAATCTTTTTTTATAGATGATGACAGTAATAAACTAATTTTTCATTAACTATGTTCAATTGATTAAGACAGTTCTCAAAGCTAAAAAATCTTATTCTTAAAAACTCATGATTACTTTCTGCTCTATTTGCAACAAGAGTACATAATATATTTCTAATTTCAAATCAGTGAACACAATAATCATTTACATCATATAAAAAAGTTTATACCCTTTGCATTCTATTTAACAAGACTCATAATAATGTCAAGAGTTCCTGTAAAATATCTCGATATCACTGGTATCTCTTATTCAGCTCCATATTAAGAGGAAATGACAAATATATGGGCTGCCATACACTACCCTTTTTTGAATTGCCAATATTTCATTTTTATATCAATGTTGATGTGAGAGACTACTTTCAATTTCCACCTTTTTGCCATTATTTGGAGATTATTACAATAGTGGTGAAAAATCAATTATTTAACTGCAATTTTTGTTAGTTAAAATTGCATAACACATTTTTAAAAGAAGCCACTGCTTTAATATATTCAGTTATAATGAGTTAAAAGTAGCATAAAAGTAAAAAGAGTGATAGAAATGTTGTTAAATAGCAGTGCAAAGAAGAACATAAACAGCGAAATATGGCCCTTGTAGATATAAATACAGTAGATTGCCTATTGAAAGAGGGCAAATCATTCCACAGCATGGATCATTGCTTTATAAACACAGGCATTCAATCTACAAGCTGAGTTGACCCCCTCCGGCTTCTCCTTTCCTCCCAAAGCTGCCACTTGCACTTTCGGCTCTCTCACGGGTAGACGGTCAGCTCATAAGTGCAGAATGCCCGCTGGAGGAGTAGTAGTAGACTAATAGTTATTAGGATCCAATTTACTATCTTTCTTAAAATTTGGTGAGATCCAGTCCGATGGAAGTATTCCAAAGTTGAGAATCTCGAAAGATTTTACTTAGAACTGGAGTTAATTCTTCTACACATTCTTTAAGTACCTAAGGTGTGACACCATCTGGGCCAGCGGAGGAGTTGGGATCAAGCGATACGAGGATGTTGTAGACACCTTCAACATTTATATCAACATCATCCGATGTTTCCTCAGAATTCATATTGAAATAATTGATACAATCACTGATTGTTACAAAGGAAAGGATAGAATAAACTGTTTATATAAGCCACATTTTTTAATTTACTGTCTCATGGATTGACTAAGAATTAATACTTTAAAGACTAGTGATGTTAAAACAGTATGTACTTACCTTTAGTAATGGTTATGTAATACTATTTATACCACAATTTTTGTCCAAATTGTTTTTTGTAAAACTCATTTGAAATCATAGAACATTTGGTGCAAAAAATAAGCACAATGCGAGAAAGTAAAATAACTGAAAGTTAATAAATAATACTACACTAATAGCGTTGGCAAACAAATAGATGAAAAATACATAATAGTAATTTTTAATCACTATGCTATTGTATTATTCTACAAATATATAAAAGGATTCATTTTAATTATTGTGAAAGAATGTAGCTGCCAATATAGCCATTTGTTATCTGGGCGATGTTACAACAATGAGTAACCACGACCAACAATGACCACTTATCTATTCATTTTCACATTTAACACAAATTAAGGATGCAATTTAAAATGAAATAATATTAATATATTATAAATAATAATATTAAAATGAAATATGAAATAATATATAAATTCTAAGTTATGTAGCATCCACTTGTGTAAATTGGGAGTAGGCAACAGAAGGCTAGCACTCTTTATTTCATATTTATTTCAAATAAGTTTTAAATAATTTCTAAAAGATTTATTTGTAAACT